GTTCAAATAAAAATACCCTTTCCTTCTCTAGGAAAATTGTTGACTTTCCTGTTCAGGAGGATAGATTAGGTCCAGGAGAGGTTTGCAAAGTTGCTCAGCTGATGTGAAACTCACGTCTTTTTTATTTGAATGTGAGTTTTTGTGGTTTATATAGCATGGGGAGCACTTGGCAGTGCATTCAGGGTGCACAACAAGACCTCAGAAGTTAGAAGATTTAATGATTGAATGATTCTTTGTGGACTTTTCTGTAACATTTCAGTTTTTTCCAAGTGTCAGTGATGCTGCCTGGTAACGGATGTCATCATCTCCCTTTCACATACAGGAGGAGAGGCAGAGGGACGAAAGCCATCAGTGCTGAATGACTTGAGGGGCCAAACCTGAAGTGCCTGCATCTGATTTTTCCAGAAGGCTTCCTATTTTATACTCTTTTATAGTCTCAGGGGAGGTTTTTGTGGCTTTGATTTACAAGTGATGAAAGTTTAAAACTTCTGCAAATCAGAGACCACTGTCTCTGGCTGGTGATCCACAAGAACAGGAACCCAAACCTTGTGGGCACCTGTGAAAACAGCCGTTTGAGTAACTTTCCGTTGTCCCCTGATAATAGAAGCCAAAGGTGATTTGAGGCCTTTTTTACTATGAGATCATGCTTTCCATCCTCCATATGATGAGGTCATGCTTTCAGTCCTTCAGCTCGTGCCCCATTCACTGCATCCCTTGCAGCATCAGAGGTCAAAGCGAGTGGCTTGCGAACTACAGGGGCAGGAACAGTGGAGGGAAAACAGAGAGGTTACTCAATGAAGCGTGGGCTTTGGCAGCGAATCTGACTAAGAATTTCTCCTGCTTCTGCCTCTTATCCACTTGTTCCCATTTCTGACCTCTTGTTTTTCGCTGTCCTTCAATTGCGGTAGTGCAACTGTTTGCGTCACCTTGCAGAGCTATTTCTAACCCATTTCAGTTCCCTGAGTTGGCTTTCACCAGCACCCCCAAGAAGTTGCATCAGTGCTGGAAAGGGGTAACCAGCCACTGTGCAGCTTCCTTTCAGGAAGCTACAGCTCACATGGGGATCCCTGTGCAGAAGGAAAGCCCTTCACCGAACACAGGGGTCAAAGAGAAGCACCAGCCATGCCAAGCTCCTCACTGCTGGCTTTCCAAGCTGGATGTCCCCATGTTGCCATCTCTTGTGAAGGCAGAAACCATTACTAAGTTTCATGTGCTTAAGAGTAAAACTCGAAACCAAAGTTCTTGCTGGGTATTGGACTTCCCACCAACACCTGGATGCATCTGACTCCTCTCCCACCTTACAGGGCTAGTATCTGGTCTGAGGTTGTTGAAGCACATGGTCCACGTGTTCTGGACATCTGAAGAATTCATATCTCTCTGTCTCTATCTCATTTTTCACCAGCTTATAGGTGTGTAAATACAAGGAGACCTTTGAAAGCTGAAGAATGTTTCCCATCACCTAATCCATTGCTAGTCTCTCCTCCAAAACTAGGAAGCTGAGGAGCTTCTCATTTAAAAGGCTGTTAATGTATTTTTCGTCATGGTAAAATACTTTTTCTGTTGTCATAGTCTTGCAAAGAGCTGATGATTAACTGAAACGTGTAACAAAGATGGTATTCAGCCTGGCAGATGCCAAGCTTGGGTGTTTTAGTGCAGACGGTTATGGAAACATGTAAACCCAGTGACTTTGGGATCTCCTGGTGAATGGTGCTGGAAACCACAAGTACAGGAGAGCCTCTCAGGGCTGCTTCCAACTCTGCTGAAGGGAATGGACTGGAAAAAAGTAAAAATTGTGAAGTCAACGTAGGTCCAGTTTCATAGGTGGTACTGGTCTAGATCTGCCCTGCGCCAGTATCCCTTCAGGACAGGAGGTGGGACATGGCTGTGGGGAGCTGGTTACAGACCTGCAGGTTTGCATCGTGACTAATCCTCTCCTCTCTTCTCCCTGTTCCCAGCTATATTCTACTACGCTGGTCATGGGTACGAACATTCGGGGAGGAACTACATGGTCCCCGTTGATGCTCCACAGCCCTATGCCCCTGAGAACTGCATCAGTGTGCAGAGGATCCTCCAGAAGATGCAGCAGCAGCAGACGGCCCTGAACCTTATCCTGCTGGACACTTGCAGGAAATGGTAGGATGCTCTTCCCCCTTCCTTGCCCGGGATGGGCAGAGCATGCTGTTTCAAGGGGTTGGGGGAAACAGCTGCCAGCCTCAGCCCCTGCTTCAGGAGTGGGCTTCTGTACAACCACGTGGGGTGTTCCCATGGATTGCTGGGGCCACGTCCCCTGTTGTGGTGCTGAGCCCAGGCCTCTGTCAAAGTTTATTGGGCTCTATCATAAAATCAGCAAGACTGCCAGGTCTTGCAGGATCTCCTGGGAAGCCCAATCGGTCACATATTAGGCGCAGAGAGCATCAGATGCTGCCTGAGATGTGCTGGAGAGAAGGGGCTGTAGACCCTCCCTTGATTTTTCGGGGTGCAGAAGCCTGGCAAATACAGGCAAGTTGCCTAAAGCCTGCAGAGAGCTGGCTCTGCCCTCGCATAAATTGTTGGCTGAAGCATAGGGTTTGTCTTTCTGTGTTTCAACCCCCTGCCCCAAACCACCCGGCCCTGGCAGGCTGTAGCAGCATCTTGCTGACCTCGGGCTTTCACAGTATGTGTTTCCCCATGTGCTCAGGCTGGGACTGTTTAGCTCACCTCTTTTCTCCTGGCTGCATTTTTGTTAACATCTCAGTGAGAAGAGTGCAACATGATGGGGAAAATATTTTAAGCTGTGCTACTTGTTTTTTACTGGTCTTAAATGCTTCTGAAGCAGTCACATCGTGAATTGGGACCCAGGCTGCTGCTGAGGTCAGGGATCAGCTTTTTCCCTCTGTCTGTGAAAAGCCCATCCTCCCTTGGCCTGCAGATCTCCATCCTGCAGCTTGTGGGCTGCAAAAAATTACTACTTGCCCATTTTCAGCAGAGGTAGGTAGGCTATTCCAGTAGAAGCTCTCATTAGTTCATTTATTTTGGTCTCCTGAGGCAGATTTACAGGTCAGAAAAGACCTGGAGGGCAAATGGAGAAAAGTCTTCCTCTTCCTTCTTGTGGTTCCTGCACTAACACCCAGAAAGATGACAGGGATTTTCATACCACTGCCCTGAAGGATCTGCCAGCCCCTGGAAAGATGTTAAATCTTTGATACCTTTTAGCTGCAGAGGTAGGAGCACTCGCTTTAAGTAGCTTACAAGCTGGCTGTGCTGTGACTTAATCTGCTGCTGCAGCTCTGAGTTGCCAGCATCGCTGGAGCTTGCTGTCCCTTGATACCTGCCCTGAACACCCTGTAGCAAAGCATCCTCTTCCTCCCTCTTGCTCACTGCTGCCACGGAGAGCAGAGTGACTTGCTTCCCTGCACTGCTGGGTACACCCCCAGCACACATGGCAGCACCTTGCTGCTCTCTCCAGCATGATACCGGGCAGGGGATGGCTTGTGGCCAAGTGGGAGCATGTGGTTTTTGCAGATGCACGGGTGGAGATGGGCCAGTGTGCCTCTGGGCTGCTGGTAGCCCATCCAAGGGCACTGTAGTGACGTGGAGGCTGCATGGGGATTGTTCACATGAAAGGGAGTAATCTGTGAAATGGCTTTTGAGCTGATGTCTCCTTTCTTGGCATCACCAGCAGTTTCTGTGCTTAGTGGAGTCTTAATGGCACTTTGGGAAGAGGATGCAATGTGAGATCTGTTGTGATGCTTAGGCATGGTTGGGCAGCTCTTTTTCTCTCTCCTGCCCCAAGATCTCACACTTCTTTCCTCCTCTTTCCCACAGCAAGCACAGCACTTAGTGCAGTAGGTGTTATCCCCAGGCTTGCGGGGGATTGCTGTAGAAGCTCTCTTCTGAGCTCATTTTCCTTGACAAGTCACCATTTCAGCTTAGCAAAGAGTTTGGATTTCATAGTTGTGTGTGTTTACACCACTCCTTAAAACAGGGCTCCTGGGGCCTCCTTTCCCCAATGCCCTTTTGGTTAGACTGATGCTGCGAGTCTGTTGACGGTTCACTCAGCCATGCATGAACCTGGAGGAGCTGTGTCTGTGCTAAGAGGGATCTCACCCAGAGTATCTCTTCACCCTGTATGTCAGCGTCAGAAATGCCAAGGTGATGAGAAACACATCCTCCTTTGCCAAGTGGTAGCAGATGTTCAGCCTCAGCAGAGGAGGAACCAGGAACACAGAGCCTGTGTGTAGCCTCAGACATTTATGTGCTGATTTTGGGCAGATGCGATTGCCTTTTCCAGGAATTCCCTCATTTATGAGGGTTTCTAGTGTGTGCTTCTTAGGACAGAAGGACACCATCTCCTATCTGGGATGCAGATCAGAACTGGGTTGCATGAGATGTGCTGTATAAATGAGACTTTTTTTGGGCCTGAAGCAGGAGGGAACACTGCCACCTTCTCTGCTGTCAGGTCTCTCCCTATGTTCAGTCACCATCTGGAAACGCCCCTGGAAATTCAAGCCCCTGCTGAAACTTGTCTTCTGCTGGGGCAGGGGACCAGAGCCAGCATTTCTCCTGTGTGTCTGCTGGTGCCATCATGAAAGGTTTGCATCAACTCATGTCTGCACAGCCTCGGGTGGATGTCCCCAGCAGGGGGACAACAGAACCTCAGTTTATTTTGGGATCCCATGTCTTGTTTCTCCTCGGACCTGGAATCCCAGATTTCTGCATTCATTTAGGAGTAGCTGAGGGGCACATAAATCTCTCTGTTCAATGTTCATATTTAGAAGCATATCTCCTTTTCCACATTTTCTCTTCTGATCATCTTTAGAAAACTTACACAAGCCAGATGAATACTGCCTTTAAACTTCTCCAGAGTGCACCACCAGCAGTAGTTAATGTGCTGGCTGCTGGTGATACAACCGTCCCTTCTGCTCTCCTTAGTGTGCCAGATTCAGTGCCAGGAAACTGTGCTAGAATTGGATAACACTGAATAACGCCGCCTCTGTGCGTGACTCTTATCCCTGTGCAATTTGGAACAGCTGCAAGTCACTGGTGTAAACTGGAGGCAGCCAGTCCCCATGCTGTTCAGTCTGGCTGCAGTTAGATGGGCAAGGCTTGGCCATTAAGTGCAACCATGATATCTTTTTTGGTGGAAACCAGGACTGTCACCCCAGATCTACCTGATTTTGAAAATAACAGGGTCTGTGTTCATTGAGCTATATCAAGACCAGGGTGCCAGGACCAGTTTTGGGCTTCGAGACCTGGGTGCATGTCCTGATCCCATCTCTCAGAGAGATCTGGAGGTGTATCAGCCATAGTGTGCTTTGGTGTCCTGGGGCAGAAGGTGTGTGCATGGGCTGCAAGGGAGCTGCGGGGCACCCCAGACCCCTGGGACAGGCTGTTGAGCCATGGCCGTGCAATGTGCACACCTCCGAGTTCTTTAGGGAAAGTCATCCCTTAGGCCACAGTGAACCCATGTGTGCTCTGCATTGTGCTGCTGCCTGGATTTGTGACAAACCAGCCTCAGGAGCGAGGAGGCATGGCTGCACCTGCAGCTCCAGCTCACTTGCAGGGCAGGGAGAAGCTCACCAGTGTGGATAGGTCAAAGCTGGCCTTATCTACTCATTTTCCTGTGGTTTTGGTTCTTTCTAGGACTCCTAGCTTTAGCCACTATTGCTGCCCAAATAACATGGGTGGTTATATTTGTCTTGATTTGATCTTATTGCCGTCCATAGGAGGTGGACTTGGTGGAGCCCACAGGCTCTGTACTCTCCAAGCACACACTGGCGGGTGTCCTCAACACTGACTTGTGCCTTCGTCTCCTCTTCCAGGTACAACCCAGAGTGTGCCCTCTCCCAGGTACAGCCGCTGGAACCCTGGGGCAATACTGTTTACGGCTATGCCACGTAAGTGCACTTTGCTGTGCCCACACCGTGACATGGGACCAAATACTGGCACAGCCATATCTCCTCGCATCCCTTCATGCATGGTGGCTTTGGGAGGCTTAAGAGAGCTTTGCTCATGTATCCTCTGCTCTCACCTTCCATCTCTACCGTTTCCCATTCAGACTATTCTTTTCTTCCTCCTGACATCGCTAGTGGCAGCCTGTGCATCAGTTACAGATTATGGGTGAAGGTGGCATCAGCTCCTGTAATCTGTTCTTCTGTGCCTGAGCCTGATTCCCAAGGCACATGTGCCACAAGCACGTCATCTGAAGCCTCCTGAGATGAGGATGAGCATTGCTGACTGCTCCAGTGCCAGTTCTGCTGGCTTTTCAACTGCTCTCACCCACCTAGGGTGGCAAAAGAGGCTGTGCTCTCCTTTGCTGTCCCCCTCCACTGCTTTTTCCCATCCCATGCCCTTACCACCTTCTCCTGGGCCAAAACCAAGCAATTAGTGCTGATGCATGAGGAGCTAACTCGGACTCAGCCAACAGACTCTGGAGGGAGTCGGCAAGCCCTGAGTCACCCCCAGGGCTTTGCTCTGTTGCAGAAAGGTGAGGACAAGTCCTTGCTCTTGCAGGAGTGAAGATGCAGAAGCCTATGAGTTACAGGATGGGGAGTTCAGCTCTGGGATCTTCATGAAATACCTGAAGAAACATATTCTGCAGGAGAAGAAGGTTACACACATGCTGGAGGATGTGTTAGAAGGTAAGGGATGAGCTAGAAATCCCTTGCTTCAGTAGTGGGGGTGAGAAGAGATAGCAGCAGAAACCGAATGGCTCCATGCCACCCCATCCCAGCCAGCCATCCACCCCTAAAAACCAAATTGCAGGCCATGCCCTGTACAAGCTTTTAGTAACCTGGCAGCAGTACCGAGATGTTTATGTACAGTCTGAAAGGTGATAAATAAGGAAGCTGGAGTGACCCTTGCACCTCCAAAATCTCTTTCCCAGACATTGGTCGTGATCCCTTGGTCACTGGGAAGCAGGTGATGGAGATCAAACACACTCTGAAGGAAGCCCGGTCCCTGACGGACCCAATCTGTCCCTCGGGAGCAGCTGCCGAGCTCTGGGGACGCAGCCACGGTGAGCCATACAGGGTGTGGGGAAGTCTACCAGGTGGGTGGGAGGAGAGGGCTGGGGGTCTCTGTGCCCCTCGGGGACACCGGTCTGCGGGGAGGTGTTGGTGGGACCCTCTGAGGAGCTGACCCTACTGGGCTTTCCTTTCCAGAGCTGGTGAGCGAAATAGTGACCTTCCCCTGCGGGGTGCAGGTGGAGCTCCGCTTCCACCGTCTCTTCTCCAATGTGATGTACGTGTGTGCCAAGCTGCAGCCCCCACCAGCCCACGTCGCTGATGCCCATCTCCTGCTCTGCCAGCCCACCGTGAGTCCTCTGGCAGAGACGCTGGTCCCCTTCCCCTCAATTCCTGC